AAATAATTACATAGTTCGACCGTAATTTAATATTTAAATCAATTTTGGATCAAATATCGGAAGGTAAACGCAAACTCGAGGCTTTTTTTGGAGAAGAGCTTGGCCCCCATGGAGCCCATATGTGTGTTAGTGTAAAGGATGATATATGTTCCCATGAGGGACAAAGAAGATATCTGGCGCCGATAGTCGAAATCGACTTCCCTTGATGCTGGAAAAAGCCTCAGGACAAAAAGCAGACTCTATTGGTCTAGAGGAGCTTTACCCATGGGTAAAGCGTGCCGCTTACCTGATTACTGCATGTACTATATCATTTCGAAGATGTACTATTGTAATATTTATTTTCTGTGGGATGTGATCACACGACTCGAACAAACAAATATAAAACGGAGCTTCAAATATTGAAGGGGGATTAATGGAAACACCCATACGGCTGTGTGCTAAAAACTAAACCTCGGCCCCTCCTGCTTTGTTCCTTGACGCGACCGCGTTCACGCTTTGTGCTGCGTGCGCCGGCGCGAAATCCGCGTGGGAAAGACGCGACTGCCGACGAAGCCGCCCGCTGTTCCACCACGCACTTCACCGAGCTCTGTTTGTCTAGTTTATTGAGTCGCGACTTTCTCCGCACAGAAAATCTGCAATTCTGAAAACCGCACAGACAGAAGCAGTAACGGCAAACTTGCCTCGCGGCCAAAGTAAATAAAACAATCGACGTGCGGTGACCTTTTTAACTTGCCCAATACGGCCTGAGTTTAGAGAGCGCTGCTTAAATTTTGACGGAGTTTCACATTCGTATGCATTGCTTTGTTCGCGTAGAGTCAAGAGCGAGTTTAAATGTATGAACGCACGGATACAAGTAAGCAGGATCAGTCATATCTGTAATTTTGCGCTTTTGCTTGATAGTGTTGGCCGGTTTAACTTATTTGTACTGGACTTCACGAACAATAGAGGGTTGTGATTTTAACCTGAAAACAGGGAGAGGTGGCTCAGAGTATGAACTGATGACACTACAGTGTCCCAATGATGACAGGATTTTCGACATTAGCTTGTCTGCTAGGTCGAATTTAGTCACTACGTGGAGGAGAACTCTGGCGGCCGGCTGCTCTGATTGGTAGTTTTCCGTGGTTCCACTGATCGAGTGCCGGAGCAGTACCCTCACAAACGGGCCACGTACTGCGCGAGATCTTTCCTTACTCTTTCTTGTCCTTTCGTCAGCCCTTATTTACACACACACACCTCACTTGCCAGGAGACCGGCAGTAGCTTAGAGCTTGTCTCGGCAGGGGCGGTGCCCCGCTGATGGGAGATACCTGGCTGAGGGAACCCCCGCTAGCCGATGGTATCTCAGTTGCCTGATCTCGCCATACAAATAGGGAAGATCATCGCCACCTCACGAGGAAACAACGTTCACTACAGTTACAGGGCTAATGACCTTAGCAATTTACACGCCCAGAATCACTAACAAACAATTTAACCTTAAAATTGTGTATTTTACCATTCACAACTTTGATTTAACCAACGGATTGTGTCAATCACTGACCCAAACGATGTATTTTTCGTAGGAGATAGAAGTGATATAGGTATTTGAGAGCCACTCCTCAAACCTCAGATTTTTTTTTCATCCCGTGGCGTTTTAGCCAAGTAAATCTTGAGTTGGTCCCTGGCTTTGCCTCTGTGAGTAAATGCAACTTAATTATCTGAGCAGGTTTTATTGCACATTGTTCCTCATAAGTGGGATAAAGTGGGGGTTTTAGTTTTTTTATCCTATCAAGTAAAATCGTTATTTCGCTTAGCAAGACAATTATTATTACACGGAAGAGAATATTTATTGTTATGAAATGTTTTCAAAAACGCGCGCGGCTACTTTCATCCATAATTCAACTGAAGAAAGTAATGCAGTACTACCAGTGCCAATTCCCTAAAAAAAGGATTGTTTATGGTAGATTTCTACGGATTATTTGTGAGTTCTAAGGAATATCCATACACATTGTATTTTCACAAATCTAGAAACCATTAAAGATAGGAAAAACCGCCTTCGAAAGCCGAGGTCGTTAAAGCTGAAGGAAGGGCCGTAGTTGCCTCGGCTCGAAGGTTTCGCAGGTTTAAATCTTGCCTCGGGCATGGATGTTAGTGTGTGTTCGTGTTGTCCTTACGTGTTCTCCCTATAATTCCCCCTGCAGTTTAAAAATCACAGTGGGCACTTTGACTTCAAGACGTTGAAAAAAGGTGGTAAAATATGCAGTATTTTCTTCGAAAACGTAGAATTCTTCAAAAGGTAAAAGGCAAAAGGTCTTGAATTTTTCACCTGGAAACATATTGTTAGTTTGTGCAAATGGAATAAAATTCATTCGAGACAATTCAAATAACATCATATTGTAGCTTCGATACAAAGTACCTTTGAACACTTTAAAGTTTATAGCCCAGTTAATTGTAATGTTAAAAATATCTGAAAGACAACAAATACTAAATAGATAATTTTTTAAATAAAAATACTGCATCACTCTCGTCTTGTAATTTCTAGTCTGGTTCTGTCAAGAAGGTGCTACGAGGCTGCATTGTTCTTATCTAAGCTTGTTAAAGAGCCATGTGATTCCTCGCTCGTTAGGACTTGTGATATGAAATACTTTCAATAAGAATATAGCTCGTGTTATCATACTCAAATGTAATTCTGCATGAAATATGATGACACAGTAATAAAACCTTCAATCTTTATCAACCTTTTAATATTATTGCCTTGTAAATATATTAAAGTAATATACATTAAATCTAGTTTGTCAATTCACATTGATTCTAATATACGCGAGCGAACATTTCTGATTATGAAGTGCTGCTAAGAACGTTGCTATCTTTCGTTCATAATTCAATTACGTAAGTTAAAATAGATCAAATACCGATTTAGGTGCTCCAGAAATCTTGCTCATGTAAAATATTTTAAAAGGTCACTTTTCGACTACTAAGGTCGTATAGCGACCATTGTGAGTAACATTCGGGGGTAACGGTGACGTTACGGTATACAGACACACTCAACCATCCATGTCTCGGGCGGAATTTGAACCCTCGCCCCTTCAGGCCCAAGGCAGTCTCGGCTCTTCAGTTTTAGCGGCCTCGAACAAGGCAGGCAGGTTACATTTTTGAAATCAACCACTGAACATTTTCGTTAAACAAAGAGAGAGTAAAATTTGACGTGTGTCTACAAAAAGGTTTACCGTAATTCAGGCGAATGTAAATATTTGTAACAGCTGTTATTATACCGTTATGTAATAACTAGAAAGCCATTCAAGAGTGCCCTTTCATTGGAGGTAGTTTAAGCCCCTTGGTGGAATTATTGAGTGACCTTTGCAAGACGAAGAAAACGCAGCTGCTTCAGGTAAATTATGTTCAAAGCACGAAAGGCAGTGATGGCGATGATTGTACGAGTGACGGTAGGTAAACGCAATATAAGGTATTTCATCGATCTCGTAAATGAGGAAGTTTTGCTGATCCATTAACAACACACGCCACGAACACTGGCTTTGAATCACTTATTATTCAGTTTATCAATTCTCAGGTTGCACGTAAACATTTTCATAATTGTGTCAAAATAATATATCACATATTTGTCATATATTTAACATATTTACAGTTTTCTTTAGTACTTACATTCATTTATCTTTCACTTACATTTTAATAGCAAAGTGTTTCTTTTCTACTCCACTTTTCGTCTTGTGTCAGCCTTCTCTGAATTCATATCTCAATAACATTGATGTCACCCGTGGTTAAAAATTTGCCTTACTTTTCAAGATATCCACAATATGGATATAAACGGATCACCCTCGAGTTTGAAATCTACATGCAGTAAAACGAGTTTGCAATTGAATCCAATAAGAGTGAATGAAAATTCAATAGTATAGAAGCCATCGAGTTATCAAATACACGCAATAAATATAGAAATTTATAAATTATTGAACTGATTTATACATTATTAACAAACAATTTTGAGGAAATTTTCAACATTCCTTTTCCTTGCCAATGTAATTTTTTGATTTTTTTTGCAGTAGGTCTAACAAAGTGGTTATTTCGTTTCTGAGAGCCGACGAAGTATCAGAAATCGGAGAGGAGAGATGGTTTTTGCTTTTGATGTCGGAATTACGCTGTCCCTCACCCTCTTCTCACAATAAAATTCATCCCAGCGCCGCACAGGTCATCATCGAAAAATCTGTCTGAACCATTTACGCACAAAGGGAATAACGAACGCCAATATTGCTCCCCATCATTGGTTTTGGTGGGGCTGTTGAATTGCGTTACCAATCGCTGTTTTCTGACCCGCTATCGGGTACGGGTGAGTTATATTTAAATAGGTTTAAAAACGCCTTCACACACGTGTATAAAAAGCCGTTCCTAACCCAGCTATTGGAAAATTCCCACTGCTCGGTGTATGCTGTTTGGTTTCAACACCCCTACTTTCATTGAGTAAGCTGTTAGTTATTGATATGAGTGTGGTTTGGTGCCTCTAACATTTATATTCACTCAAGAGAACTGTATTTAATTAATGTACATGCACTCAGAACTATTAATTAACAAAATATTTTTCACTAAAAATTCATGCCGTGTATTTCCGAATAAAGCCAGATCATAAGAAGACTGATGCTTCTCAAATTCGCATTCTCTATATTCGTACTATAGAGAAAGCTATGTGCTGCTGGAGGGGAAATAGGCGATTTTTCTTCCACCAGAGTAGACTCCTTCACCCCTTCTTTTTCTCCTCTACGGGTAATGCGAGAAGCGCCTCCCCTCCCTTACCATCAGGCTGACTACACTCAGATTTAAACAGAGTGACACTTGAAGGTCACGAGCTGGACGGACTGCCATCCAATCTGGAGCGTCGATACAACTCAAACTTTTGGTCTTGGATCTCCCGATTGGATGACAGTGTCCCCTTCCCCTTCGTGACCTTCAACTTCCACTTTGTTTAAATACTTTTCCACTATGTAGACAAACAGGGGCTTTCACGGTAGTTTTTTTCTGATGCGCGATAGTCCGGAGATACGTCAAGAGGAGTCGCCCGCTTCATCGTCCCTGGAGAACATGGCGGTTATGGAAGTAGCACAGGCGTCGCAGCAACCACGTTGTACCACTGCGTCTGTTCAGCAACGAGAGGTTGGTGAGACAAACGCGATAAACTAAAAGCGATAATGGTTATATTATTAAAAAGTGACATAATCAATAAGTAATTAAAAGAATAAGTAAATAAATAAATAGTTATAATTTCCAAAGATGAATACAACAGTGACAACTTTATCAACTTTTTTTTCAAAAGTATTGGATAAAACCACATGATTACAAGTGTCAACGTAAGAATAATTCCAAAGGAAAAGAGTGTGACACTGTTGGATTACTGCAGAATATATCGGGAAGTGCTTCGGTTCAGAAGCGCGTGGTGTAGAAGCAGGCCATGGGGAGGGGGGGGAGGCGGTAGGGGCAGGTGGCGGCTGCAGCGGCGCCTGCGCCTCCGAGATAGCGCTCCTCCCGTCGCCGGCGGCGCATTCAGGCGGCGGGGGCGGCAGAGGGGCGGCGATGACAAAGGGAGCGGTGCTGGCGACGAGAGCGGCAAGGTTGCGGGGTGCCGGGGGAGGCAGTGGTGGGCGACGTGGGCGATGGAGGCAGCTTAGCCAACGGGAAACCGCTGAGGCAGTAGGGGTGGGAGG